CCAAAAAATGCTCAATTTCCATCAAATTGTTATCTTCAAGAATGACATTCTCGTCATCTTCAATAACCATAACTTTTTCATCAGCCATAACACACTTTGTTAAAATCGTCGTAAGGGCGAAGACGGTTGCGTACTATAACGTTGCACACTCTTCTCGATTATATATATTTTAAAAACAAAAATATATATAATGGCTCAATAGATTAAAATCAAATTAAATTAATTGGAAGAAAATGGCAATCAGAGCCAGGCGCGGTAGTTGGAGCGCAAACAGTTTTTTTATGTATCATTCTCTACATGCAAATTAGACGTTTCGGCCTCTTTTTTAGGCCATCTTCAGCATAAATTAACTTATTACATAGGCTTACGGTCGCATTGGTTCAGTCGGTTACTAACCTGAACATTATTAACATGAAAGAGCATTGTCGCAGAAAGTTAAAATAATAATAAATAAATAAATAACTTAAAATAAAGACCGGTAATCTCTCACATCATTGATGTATTGTGGAAATTCCGTGTAGAAAAAAACCGTGATCATGTCAATCTGATCTGTACAAATGTGATTTAATGTTAGACGGATTAAACAAATGGTGTGAGAGGGTGACACTGAAGCTTGAATATCAGAATGCAACTCACAAAATCCACGCTCCGTACGCAAAGGCGATGTCAGAAGTACATACATTGTATAAATTTTCTATATCTCTAGCAGAGTGTGTTGAGAGAAAGATATAAGTTTTGCAAACTATGCATATACATTACACCGTTTTTATTCATACATGGAGGATGGGAGAAATAATTAAATTCACAGATAAATAGTAAAATAACTTATTTATTATATGCATCGTGAAGAATGTCATTTACAGCACATGTTAATAATTCGCGATCTATGAGTGATTCGCTGTCAAACATGTTACTTTTACGTATCGCTTTTGCAGCGTCGTATATATTAGCGATATTATTACGTTGTAAAACAGTTACAAATTGTTTGAATTTTTCATTTACAATATGCGTATTTTCGCATAGCTAATAATACATATGACCAATACATTTTTCAAAATCAAATAAATATAATAGAGTTGGTGGTTTCATATATAAAGAATTATTGGATAATGCCAATTTTATAATATTCGAATCAGATACTTTAACCACTTCGAATGTTAAATCCGCAATAGGGTTTGTGTCAATTGTAGAAGTCGTTCAATGTCAGCACGATTCTGCATCAACGATTTCCACGTTCCAAAAGGCAATATTATTTGTTTGCCTCGATTGTTACTAAGAGCCAATTTCACGCAAGATACAGTTCCAACGTTTATTCCAATGTCCAAATATTTGTATGACGTCGAGGTTAAGGCATATCGTCTTCCAAATATACGAACCGCACGACGAGGCTTGGATGAAATGCTAGGGAGTAAAAAATATTATTTATATAAATATTTAAAAACATTTAAAATATGTATTGGCATTGCAAAATTGCAATGTGGTGGGGGTTATTGCCGACGCGATTTTTTTCAATTTTTCTATTCAAGCGCCGATGTACGGCTGCTTCGCGATGACATCACCCCCAGGTGGAGATTTAGCTGAATGCACAAAAAATGCAATATAATATAAAATTTTCAAGCGCTGATGTGCGGCTGCTTCGCGATATCATCCTCAGATATCAGAATCCAAATGCGCGTGTCAAAACAGGACAAAATCGTGAAACATAAGAATAATCCTCATGGTTAAATTGCACTAATATATTTGGACAGCTGCATGTAATTTGAAACTTTTGCGATGCACCTGGGATTTGACATCATCTCTAGACGAAAAATGCAATAATCGACATTAGCCAAAATGTACGTGGTAAACCGTGAAATAAAGATTTAGTTGAAATATGATACACATGATGGAACGAGACATCAAGATAGAATACAAAATCATGGTAAAGAGGCACACCCTGTCAGTATTTTCGCCAGAAGTTCCGAGACAAGAGCTATTAATAAGCGCATCTTGTTAGCAAAAATTTTCGGCATAAATTTGGAAATATGGCGAAAAGCAGTGCCGAACGAAACCTGCATGAGCAATCTGGGTGAATTCGATAGAGGAATACGTTGCGTGGGAGCAACAATGCGACGAATATATCGAATCGTTAAAAGAGCAAAGTCGAATCAAACGTCCACGATTATCGATTGGGATTCGACAATCGTTGATTGCCCGAATTGCACGACTCGAGGGATTGAAGAACTCGTTACGCAGACGTTTTGTACATGCGGGTGCAGGATGCAGTACGCGACAACATGGATTGATATGGCGAGAGATCGATACGACGTTTGAAAGCCGCATATTGACTGGTGCGGTTATAAATCATAATCACATCGAGCCTCGTCAATTTTTCGAGAATGCCAAAGACATTGTGCTCGAACACGTGCAAAACACGCTGAAAAAACACATTAACGTGAAAATTAATACAGTGTTCAATGATGAATTTGTGATGGGTGATAAACGCGCAAATAAAAGTATCAATACGAGAAACTATGAACTCTTTCGCACATCCGATTTACGCGAATGGTACGAGCGGCGCGTTGTCGAGCCCACTCTCATCGAGCCTCGTCAATTTTTCGAGGATGCCAAAGACATTGTGCTCGAACACGTGCAAAACGCGCTGAAAAAACACATTAATGTGAAAATTAATACAGTGTTCAATGGTGAATTTGTGATGGGTGATAAACGCGCAAATAAAAGTATCAATACGAGAAACTATGAACTCTTTCGCACATCCGATTTACGCGAATGGTACGAGCGGCGTGTTATCAAACCCACTCTATACTGCGTTTACAAAGAGAACGACCTCGCTTTTCGTCCGGTTCGGTCAGATGCTGCCCGACCGACCGCCCAGTTTGCCCCCTCTATGCTGTCAATATTGATCTTGCAGCTTGCAGATCCGGCTAATTGAAAAAGGAGACCCGCGCATTCCTTAATGAACTTTTTCAAACATTAGAAAGTTAATTGTCACGTGCAGCGGTATAAAGTTTCTTACGAAATGGATAATAGTGCAATGGAAAAAGATACGGACATGGAAGTAAGGCCATTATCTCCTACAAAAAAAATAAAAAAGGCCAGGTAATCAAATACAAATAAAAATTATTATTTTGTATTATCTCTGAAAATATAGCAGTTATTTAAGAAACCTTGAAGCCGGGCAGGAAATCCACCTGCCCTGCAGCCCCGAAAACCAGCGAAGCCAGGAAATCCGAGGAGACGACACTGGGAAACAAATCCAGAGTCTCCAGACCATCCCAAATGGTGAAGGGGATGAAGAATCTGAAATTATATTGTAAGTCAATAAAAAGTGCAAAGGTGTAGTACCCAAAGTACTGCACCAAAAGTACAGTACAACTGTACTTTTACAGACTAAACTATAGTTTTAAGAGAACTATACTTTTACAGACTAAACTATAGTTTTAAAAGAACTATAGTTTTAAGACACCTTGTATATAGCGCATTACTAGATTTTAAGGAAAATACGATCCGAGCGATATTTGTACATCGACACCCGTAGTGCAGCACTTCGTATAGCTGCACAGATATTATAGCTGTACACAGAGTATAGCGTAAGACACGCGCACGCACAGGGGGCGTGTTCTCAGAAGAGAGGGGACCCCGAAAGCGGGAGAACCTGAAGAGAGGGAACGGTATAAAAGGCTGTGCGGAGCGAGACTCGAGGCCTTTTTTCCCGAGTACAAAAGATCTTAGAAAGAGTCTAATATTACGGAACATTGTATAACGCGTTGATAAAACTTTCTTAGGAAAGATACGCGAGCGTGCAAGGAAAAGGACGAGCCTTTTTCCCGAGTTCGAAGCGTCTGTGATAACACGGCTTTATGGGTTTTTTATGTGATAGCTGCGAATAAAAAAAACTCTTGTGCGTCTAAGAGATTCGCGACAGTAAATATAATAAAGGCAGTTTTATTTTAAACGCGATATATCTCCGAAGTGTGGAGATTCGCGAAACGGCGGACAGTTTATACGCGCTGATTTTAAATATATTTTATACTTTTTATATATAAATCAAAAAGTAGTGTAAAAGTAATTAAATTACCTTGCACCTGAAAACCCTTACCTGTGAACGAGAGTCGATCCAGCGGCGTGCAGCGGGTAGTCCACACATCGAAGCGTTGATCCGACGAATCCAGCGGCGACCTGAAACAGAAAACAGAAGGGATTAATTAAGAAACAAATAATTTGTCCAACAACGTATCGTTGCACAAATAACGTCGTTCCGACGTATTCTTGAGGCGTCGAGGCAATTCCAGGGGAAACCTGCATTTGTTGTAATTTTCTCCATCTCGTGTGTTTAGTCCGGTCACAACCTAACCTAAAGAAATGCTTATTGTTCCTTGTTACATTTTCGTTTTTAATTTTTTGTAGCTTGTTGACAAACGTGAACGTCTCCTCATTGTGAATTTGTACAAGGATTTGAAGGAAGAAGTCCCAAAATTTGTAAAAAAAAAGCGTACGCAATATTATCCAAAAGGACGGGATTTGGAATATTTTCTGTAAAAAAAACCTTGCTGGAGTACGAGAGGACTGGCAATGTTACATTTCCGAATAAAAAAAAACCTCGTATTACCTGCAACCAAAAAGAAGACGAATGTGACAGAAATGCAATCAAAAGAAAAGTTCATGAATTCTACATGAACAAAGAATTGCCCACATTAGCGAAGGTTCTCCGAGCCGTGAATAACGACGAAAACCTACCAAATTTTAAGCGGACGAACTTTTGGAAATTGTTGACGGAGCTAAATTTTGTTTTTATTAATTGACGTCGTAATAGCGTCCTTACAGAAAGGGATGATCTAATTTTGTGGCGGCGAAACTATCTGAGAGCCGTGAAAAAATTCCGAGAAGAGGGTCGGCCGATATATTATCTGGATGAAACTTGGGTAAATGCAGGTGACGTTTCTGCCAAGGTTTGGATTGATTCTACAATCAAATCCAAGAAGGATGCGTTTCTTCGAGGAATGTCCACAGGCCCGTCTAATCCTACGGGGAAGGGCAAACGATTGATTGTCCTGCATATTGGCAGTACAGCCGGCTTCGTACCTGACGGACTTTTATGTTTTGAATCTAAGAAGAACACTGCGGATTACCACGATGCAATGAATGGCGACACATTTCTTGAGTGGTTTGAGAAAATTTTACCGTCGCTTGAAGATAACGCCGTTATCGTTATGGACAAGGCTCCATATTATTCTATGAAGTTGGAAAAAATACCGAACACTTCATGGAAAAAAGCGGCAATAACAGAATGGTTAGAGAGCAAAGGCAAGACCGCTGATACAACAATGTTAAAGGTTGAGCTCCTGCAAATTGTTGATCTTATAAAGGACAATTATAATAAATATGTGATCGATGAGACGGCGAAAACACATAACAAAACTGTGCTCAGACTGCCTCCTTATTATTGTGAGCTTAACCCTATCGAAATGGTATGGTCAATGGTGAAAGGGTATGTAAAGAGCTACAACAATACATTCAAGATCAACAACGTGAAAACACTACTCGAACAAGGAGTTGAGCGCGTGACAGCCGAACATTGGAATAATTTTGTTAGGCACATTATAGAAGAAGAGAAAAAATTCTGGGAAATCGATGAAATAGCGGATAGAATGATAGACAATATTCCACCATTAATAATTAATGTTGGCGGTGAAAGTGATTTCGACACTGATGACAGTGATTGATGGTCGATCACAGAGAAAAAAAAATTGTATTGTTTTTATGTTAAAAGCTTTATATTAAATAAAATTTATTTTATAAAAATAAAATTAATAAGTACATCTATTTATTTACAATAGTAATTTTAAATTTAATTATATAATTAAATTTTATTAATAATTTTTAGATTGCAAAAAAAAAATAAATATAATAGATATATCGCGATTTAATTAAAAAGAGTAATAAATTTCGATTAATAGAGAATAACTCAAGCTTTCTATATTATTACATTTCTTTCGAGCTTTATGGGCGGATCACAGACGTGATACAATCGATACGCATACGGCATTGAAGTAACGCGCTGAAGTCTCTCACCTAATCCCCACTCCGCCCAAAGCTGCGCGAAGCGAGGTCGTTCTCTCTGTGAACGCAGTATAGCATCGCTCGAAGAATTTCAAGAACGCGATAGCGGGTGGGCATTGTCGCGAATACTCGATTTAATTGTGAATATAAATAAATATAATAAATATAATCCTATGCGCGCGAGATGTCACATAAAATTACCGCGCGCGATAATGATGAAGAAAGCGGTGATTAATGTACAATCTAAAGACAATGCGTGTTTTGATGGTCTGTGGTCGCTCTATGTCCAGCTGAAAGGGACGTAGGTCGGGAATCTGCATATCCTCATTATACAACAGTACTGAATCTCCGAGACATTGAGTTTCCAGTGACTGTGAATCAAATCAAAAAATTCGAACTTGCCAACGATATCTCTATAAATGTATATAGTATCGAGAAAGAGAACATTGTTCCAATACGTCTGAGCGAGCTAAAGAGAGATAAACACGTCAACCTGCTGTACGTGAAAGACAACAACGTTGGACATTTCGCGTGGATTAAGAATCTATCCCGTCCCTCGTGAGCTCGCAATTGAGCAAATATAATGGCCAAAAAGATGTCTGCGATCGGTACGTATATATTTCATAAAATATATTGCAGAAATAACTGAACAAAAAATTATTTCTTTTACAGATGTTTACACTACTTTGACTCGAATGACAAGTTACAATCACATACGGTGGACTGTCGAGAGATGAACGAGTGCGCTATCCGATTACCGACCAATAAGGACAAGTGGCTCAAGTTCAACAACTATAATCGGAAAGAGCGGCTTCCTTTCGTCGTATACGCCGACTTGGAGTGCGTTTTGGAGAAGACGGAGGAAGAAAAAAATTACCAACATCATAAAATATCTAGTATTGCATATTATGTATATTGCTCGTACGACAATTCGTTATCCGCGTATCATTCTCGTCGCAGTACCGATTGCATGTCATGGTTCTACGAAGAACTTAAAAATTTAGCACTACATGTAAAGACTATTTTATCAGCTAATGTCCTTATGGTAAATTTAACATCTGATGAATGGGAAAAATTTGGGAGCGTCCCGTTTGACTACGTTGAGATTGACCACGTTGCGATTGACCACGTTGATATTTACCACGGTTCCGATTGACCACGGTTCAAATTGACCAAGGACCCGATTGACCACGTTGATATTGACCACGGTCCCGATTGACCACGGTCCCGACTGACCACGGTAATATTGACCACTGTCCCGATTGACCACGGTCCCGATTGACCACGGTCACAGAGCTTCTCATATATCACATCGAGTGTGAAGATGTATATGAGAATATAAAGCGCAACGTCGACAGATTCAATATCAGTGATTATGCAGTGGACAATGTGTACGGTATACCGCTCGCGAATAAAAAAATACCGGGTTTAATGAAGGATGAAAATAATGGCGCGATCATGACCGAATTCGTCGACTTTAGGGCAAAAATGTACGCGTTGCGAGTAAATGGTAAGAAGGATACGAAAAAGGTAAAAGGCGTCAAGAGTCGTCGCGAGAACGATAACGTTCGACGATTATACGCGGTATTTGAACGAAGAGATTGAAATGACGCGTCAACAGTCTTGTATAAGATGTAAATTACACGAAGTATACACTATTCGCGAGACAAAAATTACTGTAAGTCTGTACAATGATAAGCGGTATATCATACCCGAAACCACCAACACGCTACCGTGAGGACAATACAAAATACCGTTGTAAATAAAAATCATGTATATTTATTGTAAATAAAAATTACGTATATTTATTGTAAATTTTCTCACCTATACCTTATCACCTTATCACCTTTTCCACAAGATGTACGTCGGGATTAGCAACGTGATGTAACTCGTATTCGTAAAATCCACCGGCGACGGGATTTCTGCGCGAATCTTCGAGTACATAGGTCGTGGGATTAGTTTTCTGTACTTTAACGATCTTAAACATTTCAGTCGTCCAATTTGGCGTGTAACCATTGTTAAAGATGGTCTTGCATTTACTCACGCGTACCGGATCGCCTACTTTGAATTTTGCGAATGCCGCAATTTTTACGTTGTTATATACCGTATTTAAAAGTTTATCGGCGATCGCGGGGTTAATATCGATAGGTCTCATACCGATAGTGCGATGTTTTCACGCATTATACTCTCCAACGAGCCGACATTTTCCACATATTGTTCTTTAACGTTCGGTTGAATCGTTCCACGACTAAGGCTTTCATGACAGAGTACGTCGAATAATGATTAATGCTGTGTTTCTTCACGAGTTTCTGTATATTTGCGTTGTAAAATTCTTTTCCTCTGTCGGTTTGAAAATTTTTCGGGCATCTTCCATCGTCTCGAATTATCTTTGCGATCGTTTCCGACATCTCGTTTCCACTCTTACCCTTGAGCGGTATAGCCCAAGCATACTTGCTCAACACATCGATAACTGTGAGTATGTAGTTGTAGCCTTTGTTGAATCATGCATATGGACGCATCTTGACCACGTCCGCCTGCCACAGATCGTCGTATACGCGTACTATGGCACGTTTACGTGGGAAATTTTTTCTCGCTGGAGCATGCAATTCTTCCACGAGCAGCTGTTTTTCAGAGGTTTTTCGTAGCATATTTGATCGAAGCATAATTCGTAATAATGAGATAATTCCTCCACATATATTTTTTATATATCTTTCTTCTGCGCTGAATCAGATGTAGTCTGGGTGTGAGTTGCATACCGAAACATTTTCTGCATCTCATCCATCATTATTTGTAGCGTCTGCATATTCGTCTCGAGCGTGTTTATTTTTTTCTCAAATTCTTACTGTCGATCTTCTTAAAGCTTGACACTTATTTCCACGTACTGTTTGTTTGCGGCATCAGTATCATCTTCCGGTTGCGCTACGCGTTGTATCTTGCGCGACCTTGCGTCAAAGCCGGAGGCTGTCTGACACAGAGCGTTATCGCGCACGTAATTTCTTAGTAATCCATTCCATTGAAAGTATGAGTTGTTCGGTGTGCCCAACGATAATCCAAATTTATTAATCGACATTTCGATACAAACAATAGTGACAGACTGACTCATTTCGTCGACGCATAGATTAATTTATAATAAGGCCAGCTTCGCAAAGTTCCTCAATAATTGATAATATTTCATTGTCGTGGGCATTGTTGCCGGCTTGAAGCTAAGCTTCCAGCAATCGCAAGCGATCTACCAACTTGTTGGGATCATTCCAATGCACGTAATCGATCTTATTATCATTTAACATCATAGCGCACGGTATGTTTATACCTCTTCCAGTTTTTTTACCATAGATTAATGACGCTATTATATTTTTATACTTGTATCCCTTGTTACTTAATACTCAATTACACATATTGTTGCCACGTCTATGCGCATTTGTCGCCTGTAATATATTTTTGTATTTAATTTTATCATTGCCAGTATAATACGTCACCGTCGGGCGATCTGTTGAAAATCAACTTGTAGTGACCTGGTATTCTCACGTATCTTATTCCATCGATAATTATATTGTCATCTTTATCCACATCAAAAATTTTATCACCAATCATCATTCCTTCGTTGCAAAATTTATATAACACCGTAGAAATAATCCATATTGTTATCTTTATCTTGACTTAAAATAGCTCCCACATATTTTTGCCTTAGTGGGCCCAAGTGTGCGCGCAATGTACTTTGATCCTCGGACGTTTGTAATAGACGTTGAACCGACGTCACAAGCGTTTCAGGCGTGGTTTCGAAAATTTCATCCACGGATGGAGACGGTCATTAGTGCAATATTTGACTTAGTTGTACGGTATTTATCGGAGTAATAGCATTTGATAATTGTTCCATTCGCTTACGTTTTGATTGAATTGGACTAGAAGTTATTAACGAATCGTTTAATGATATATTTGACCGTGTTCGCTTTGTTCCATATTTTGACTCTTTTTTCAGATGCTTGTCTTCGAGCATACTCGATGGTTCGATTTGTTTCATTCGCTTACGTTTTAATTGATTTGGAGTAGAAGTTGTTAGCGAATCGTTTAATGATATATTTGACCGTGTTCGCTTTGTTCCATACCTTGACTCTCTTTTTAGATGCTTGTCTTCGAGCATACTCGATGGTTCGATTTTCGCTTCATTAGATTCCACATTGATTGTATTTTCGACAAGTTGTTTTAGATGTTCGATAATTGGTTTAAAGTGCCTCTCCAATGCGACGTCTTCCTCCATTTGACCAGTTTTTAAAGAATGATATTTTTTGCGGATTGATTCGCTCGTTTTTACAATCTCTCTCGCGATTTTCTCACGATCGTCAATGTCAATCATCGTCGTCATGTTGTGCTCGGACGAAAATTTTTAGACGTTGCTCGATCGATGTATCAATAGCGACTAACCACTTTACGGTATTGCAAAATCGTTAAATCCTTTTCGATATCGTCCATTAGTCTGCAAACTGTTTTTATCAATCACTACAAATCCATACATGTGTTGCCAACATTTCTGACAGAATGCGCGAAAATCGTCGTAAGACATGTCAGTATTTACATGATCGTTGTATACATGTTTTAAGCTTGTACCATCTTGTTAAAGTAAAATCAGTAAATTTGCATTGTCCTGTATAAGATGCTTGGGTATCTTGGCATACGTTTGACAGAGATAGAAACAGTCGACGCTCGAGTTCGAGTGTCGACCCATTGCAAAGTACTTTCTTATCGTATCTTGCTTATCGCACGTCACGTCGTCGAAGATAAAAATGGAATTCGGAAGCGCCTCGCTCGGTGGAATAATGTCACTATTATTAGAGAATGTAAAATAACCAATTTCATCAATCGGTAATAGCAAATTTTCCAAGTATCGATATTTCGGTTGTTAAAGCGATTTCGAGTATACATACACATTCTCGAAACATACACCGTGTGGACTTTCTATCAAATTTATCAGCATGTTACTCTTACCGAAATTCGAAGGACCGCAAATAATACCGCGTATAGTAGTCGGCAACATGTTTTCATGCTTGCGCATTTCTTTCCCGGACATTACTTGTGTTTTATCGTTAGAATTTGTCACTTTTGTGAGGGTGACCGAGGGGTTACGAGGGTTTTAGAGTCAGGGGAAAGGGCGCAAAGGAATTTGCTAGAACTGGTTATTTTATTAAACAAACAATGTTTGTATCACAACTGTATTACTGTATCGATTGGATCTCGCGTATTAAATACTTAACGGACGCTCACGCGGATAGCGAGGAAGAACGCACGGAAAAATAAGTAAACGGTCTTATCTGTATGAAAGCCGGAACACGAGTCGCGTCTCAACTCGTTCTTCCGTATCTCGAACCCTTAACAACCCATGGTTGCATCACAACACAAACAAACATAGGTTGCCAAGTGATTAGCAAATGAAGGCGCTGTTGTCGAGTTGGCAGACAACGAGACAACCGCTGCGCGCGCAATATAGATGGCAGCAGAAAGTTATGCCGAACGGGCTATAAACCCGATAGCGTCTTACTTTGATTATTGTCGCTTGTCGCGCGAACCGCATGTTTGCTCTCGCGAATAATCAGATTTTTGGAGAACGAGTCATCGGGGCTCTATTTATAGAGATGCACCGAATCGAAACCGCTCAGTCTCAAAAATGTTTTTACTTCTATCGGTTAACAGCAATATTCTCGAACTTACCACCGAGCAGTTACAGATTATCCCCAAGATTGTTTTACTGCGAGACTTTGATAGTTACGTGGAACAATTGTGGGACAAGCTTCCCGAACATATAAAAGCTGACTCAGAGGTTCAACAGTATCGTCGATGCACGCGACATTATAATTTGTCGTGGCAGCAAACACATTTCGACGGTCCAACACCGTTAATAGAAAATTGTGGCAAATGCCAGCAAAAATTATAAGAGGTAGCGGTTTGTTAAATCGTGCGATAAACGCACTTCCTATCGAATTACATATTCCAGGTTATCAGTTTTGCAGACCAGGAACTCATTTAGAAACGCGATTGGCTAAAGGCGATCGAGGTATCAATCGATTGGATGCCGCGTGTCGCAAGCACCACATAACTTATTCCCGAAGCAACGATCTCGGTCAACGGCACGTTGCAGATAATATACTCGCCACGAAAGCGCGAACACGTATTACCGCGAGAGATTCGACTCTTGGCGAAAAAGCAGCCGCTACAGCTATTTGGACAGCTATGAAAACAGAGACAAAATTCGGTATGGGGATGAAAACAAAAAAATCATCGATGAAAAAAAGACTGTGGAAAAACGAATACTTACTTTAGCGAAGCGCGGTGGTATCTTACCAATTTTACCATTATTGGGAGTTTTTAGTTCGTTGGCTGGCGCAGCAGCGGGAATCACGAAGGCGGTGAACGATAGCAAGGCGGCGCAACGTCAGCACGAAGAAATGCAACGTCATAATCGCGCTATGGAAGGTCACGGACTTTATCTCGCTCCATACAAGCGTGGACGAAAGTTTTCAACAGCGGCTAAGAAAAAAAAACGTCAAAATAACGATTAAAATACCTGCCGGTGTAACAACCAATGTACAATTGGAACAACTTGCAAGATGTATGCGTAAACCATTTTTTAGAGGCGTTTTCATGCGCAATAATTTACCGATAAACGGTGTACGACGAAATGAGAGCGGTATCGTCAATTTGGATGACGTCGATGGTTCCGGTACTTATTGGGTTGCGTATGCAAAGAGGGGAGATCGTGTAGCATATTTCGATAGTCAAGGAATTAGTGCGATATTTTGGACAGAATGTTGCAAATATAGAATACAATCACACGGCCTGTCAAAATTATAATCAAAGTATTTGTGGACAATTGTGTCTTCGATTTCTTCAAACGGTCGATGATCGATATGAATTTAAAGCCTGACAATTCACCGTCGCGATTCAGTATTCGTTCGACAGTTTTCCAGCATGTCACTCACACTTACGTTGATTGGCAAGAGTAGTGTTCTTGCGGTAAGCTACTTTCTGGCTATAGATTTAAACGATGACGATTACGAGCTTGGTTTAACGGACTTTAAAACTTATCATACGATATCGAACGTGAATTCTTGGAATAAGAAATTTTACTTTGGTAATGACGACAAGGAAATTACTATTCCCGAGGGA